CGTGCGTGCGTGCGTGCGTGCGTGCGTGCGTGTGTGTGTATGTGTGTGTGTGTGTGTGTGTGTGTGTGTTGGGGTGGGACATCACAAAGGAAGGGAAGAGAAAGAGAAAGGAATTGTTGTTAAATGTTTTCTGCAGTTCTTCATTCTCCCTTGTCCTGGGTTTTTGTTTTGTTGTTCTGTTTTTGTTAATCTGAGGAAAGGAACATTAACTGAGAAAATGCCTCTATCAGAGTGACCTGTGGGCAAGTCTGTAGAGCAAGTCTTATTTCGTGATTGATATGGAAGGGCCTAGCCCTCTGGGGACAGTGCCACTCTGGAATCCTGGATGGTATAAGAAAGCAGGCAGAGCAAGTCATTGTCGGGGGGCGGGGGGGTTATCCAGTAAGTAGCATCCTCCATGGCCTCTGCTTCAGTTCCTGTCTCACAGTGCCTTCTTTGAGTTCCTGCCTTAGATTCCTTCAGTGATGGAGTATGACCTGTGAGGAAAGCCTTTCCCATTGTCTTGACAAGAAATGCAGGAAATCCAAAGTTCTAGGAGTGGACAAGGAGGAAACTTTGGTTTTGGGGATTCTTGTGGCGGTGGTAACAGTTTTGGACCAGGACCAGGAAGCAACTTAAGGGGGGCTCATGGATATGGAAGTAGACGTGGATTTGGGGATTTGGGGATGGCTATAATGGGTATGGAGGAGGACCTGGAGGTGGCAATTTTGGAGGTAGCCCTGGTTATGGAGGAGGAAATGGTGGTGGAGGACATGGATATGGCAGCCAGGGTGGGGGCTACGGAGGTGGTTATGACGACTATGGAGGAGGAAATTATGGAAATGGAAATTATAATGATTTTGGAAATTATAACCAGCAATCTTCTAACTATGGCCCAATGAAGAGTGGAAACTTTGGTGGTAGCAGGAACATGGGAGGACCATATGTTGGAGGAAACTATGGTCCTGGAGGAAGTGGAGGAAGTGGGGGCTTTGGTGGAAGGAGCCGGTGCTGAGCGTCTTCCTACTTACCATGGGCTTCGCTGTATAAATTGGAGAGGATGAGAGCCCAGAGGTAACAGAACAGCTTCAGGTTATCAAAATAACAATGTTAAGGAAACTCTTATCTTAGTCATGCATAAATATGCAGTGATGTGGCAGAAGACACCAGAGCAGATGCAGAGAGCCATTTTGTGAATGGATTGGATTATTAATAACATTACCTTACTGTGGAGGAAGGATTGTAAAAAATGCCTTTGAGAAAGTTTCTTAGCTTTTTAATTGTTGATTCTTTCTAGTGGTCTTTGTAAGAGTGTAGAAGCATTCCTTCTTTGATAATATTAAATTCGTAAGTTTCAGGTAACATGTAAAACCTTTTTAAAGATTTTTCTCAAAAGTTTTGAAAAGCTATTAGCCAGGATCATGGAGTAATAAGACAACGTTTATCCTTTAAAAAATTTAAGTGTGTGTGTAGAGTTAAGAAGCCATTGTACATTTATGATTTAATAAAAATAATTCTAAAGGAAGAAAAAAAAAAGGAAAGCCTTTCCTCTCCAAGTTGCCTTTGTCACGGGTCACAGCAGTAGAAACGTAACTAGGACAGAAACCAGCATTGCTGTTGCTATGACGGGCTGAATAGTGTTATTACTGGCAGGATTGTAGAATGGACCTTGGAACTTTGGGCTGGACAAGTCATTGAGTGAAAAAGCTTCTTACTAAGTAAGCTGTTATAGGAACCTAAATAATGCTGAGAACATTGCATGTGGTGACAGCCTTGCTTGCAAAGTTTCTGAGGGAGATTTGTGAATCCTTCAAAGACTTGTCCCAGAGTCATTCATGTGATGTGTTTTGCATTGAGAAATCTGTGGTGTCTGGTCCGCTGGTGCTGAAGAATCAGCCATGATTATCAAGAAACCTGCACCACTAAAATGAAGTGTTACTTTACTGGGAGAGTTGATGTTGGTCAGCTGTGGCTGAGAAGAGACCAGCGTCATTAAGGTGAAGTCTTCTGAAGGTGACTCCCCAGGGTTAGCACAGAAGCTGTGGTCCAGAAAGGAGGAGATGGTAAGGCTGCAGTGGAGCTGCCCAGAGCCTTCGAAGCCCAGAGCATCATTTTTGAATTTGAAGTAAGAATTTTTGAAATTGTCCTGTGTTTTATATTGTGATAGTAAGATGAGATCTTGGAGATAAACAAGAAAGAAAAGGTTATGACTGAACAGTATTGCACTGGTGTGTCATGTTGACAAGGGATCAGTTGTCTGGTTAGTTATTTTTGTTGTTGTTGTTGTTGTTGTTACCAGCTTCACATAAGCTAGGGTTATCTGGGAAGAGGAACCTTAATTGATAAATGCCTCCATCAGATTGCCTATAGGCAAGTCTGTAGGGCGTTTTCTTGATTTGTGATAGATGTGGAAGAACCCAGCTCTCTGGGGGTGTTGCCAACTCTGAGCAGGTGGGCCTGTGTGGTGTAGGAAAGTAGACTGAGCAAGCCAGGGGGAGCAAGCCAGTAAGCAGCATCCCTCCATGGTCTCTGCATCAGTTCCTGCCTCCAGGTTCCTGCCTTGAGTTCTTACCCTGGCTTCCTTCAGTGATGGGCTCACTAAGCCTAAAGCCCACCCATTGGCTAGAGTGTCTGGCAAGAGAGCTCACATGAGTGCTTGAAATTTGAACTCAGGTGCTCATGTATGCATGCAAAGCCCCAGAACTGTGCTTTTAGAGTGAGCTGTTACAAGAGTCAAAATCCTTATAATCAAACTAGTCTCACTGTTGTTCAATCATACATGAAAAGCAAATGGAGACAAATGGTCATAGGTAAAGCTAAAATGTCACTTACTTTATTAGGATCCCAAGAATTGTAAGTGTAGTCTGAAAATACAGACTAATTAGGAAAACTACGCAATACAATAATGTTTTGGTGGATCTAAAAATAAGCAAGCAATATTGAGTATATATGTGGGTATATGGCACCTAAATCTGTTACATGATGTATATTTTCTGATTTTTGTTTTGTGTATATTTTTTAAAATGATATTGCTTAAATAAGTCTTTGAAAATTGAGTGGGTTAATGCAGATGCAGTGACTTTTCCCACTGGATGCGTGAGAACCATTTTCCTGTTTCTCAGAGCATGCCCTGCACCGGAACGCTGGAGCTGAAATAGCCCAGCTCCAGCCTTCTGTTTTCTTTTCAAAGAACTTCTTAAAAAGCTTAATTTTTCTTCCAACTAAATTGATGAATGTGACAATGAAGTTTTTTGCAGACCCACCCTGTCTGTCATGAGCTGAGGGACAAACTCCTCAGGAACCAGCTCTGTCTGTTATTCTGGTGTTCACGGGATAATGACCATGTTCCAACTCTTCCTCCTCAGATAACAATTGAAAGAGACAGTAATGAAGATGTGAGTGACCCCAAACATGGCAAGGAGGACCCAGACAACATGCCCCATGTGGGCGGCAATACCTGGGCTGGTGGAACAGGTTGGTAGCGTGTGGATTTTCCTGAGTTTTCCCAGTTTCTTGAGTCTGTCAGATGGGCATTCTAACCCTGAGCTAGCCCAGGTGCTGGCTGCCCTACTCAGCCTTTCTTACTCTCAGTGGTCTCTCCCTCCGTCCCTGCATGACATTGAGACATGCAGAAAGCCTGGCCTTGGAACCCCACAGACTCTGCCTCACTTTGACCTAAAACTGTGTCCCCCGCCTCATCGTGACTTCTTTAAGGGGGAGGAACATTATCTGCCTCACAAGGTCAGGTGGAAGATTAAATTAGTCATGAACTTAGAGCATGGAGCAGAATGGCTGGGCTAAAGAACAGTCGTTGAAGTATTGGTCCCTTCTTTCAATTCCTTGCCTTTGGAATTCTGCCAGAAACCTACAGCGAGTTCTTGAACAACTAACCTGGGGAAGAAATGGCTCTTGTCCACATCTGAGAAGGGAGTGTGTGAAGGCACACGGTTTGGAGATAAGGTTGGTGTGCTTTGCACTGATGGCTGGATGCCATTCCTTCCTCTTGGCTGCTCTCCTAGACCATTGTTCCCAAGCCGCCGTCTTCCTCTTCCCTCCCAGCAGCTGGAGCAGACACATGTGCTGGAGCACAGGAACGGGGCCAGACTGCGCACTGTCTGGCTTATCTCAGCCAGAAGTGCTGGCACTCACAGCTCAGGTCTTCACCTTCCCTTAGGATGGTCTGCGCCTCTTGGCCTTGAAGGCCTTGGCAGGAAATGGGTTTCTGTGCTGAGACAATATGCTATCAAATAAGCCCGGGACTTCTTGCCTTCTCTGTTTATTCATCGAGCATCAGCTTTAAAGAAAGGCTATTTTTAGGAGTGTCCTTTGATCTGGAAGTTAGTGTCAAGCCAACAATATTTAATCCATATGGAATGCGTTGTGGAACGAGCTGGCCAGATGTCAGCTTCCCAGCAGTGCCTACGCAGGGTAAAAGTTTCATTTGTTATTAAATGTGCATCTACTTGCTCCAGACAGATGAAACGTCCTGTCTGCTTCACCGGCTTGTATCTTTTGATCAAGGCTCCTGGGATCAACGTGTCTTTTTCTGTCTGTCACTAGTGCCCTTCAGAATTCTCTACATTAAACTTAACTCTGTGCCAACAAACCATTTGGTTCTTCTCTGTCATCAGTGTTTTCTTCCCCCTGTGTCTTATGGACTGGTTGGTGAGAGTCCAAGTTCAGCTAGAATTTTTCATTTAAGTAATAAGAATTTAAAATCCTATGGAGTGGAGAAGAGAACTCTTTCCTTATACCCTCTCCATCCCAGCTGACACTCCTGAGGGGCCACATGGTCCGTTCTGACCACCACTCACACTACCTCTAAGAGTTGTGGCTCCTCTCCTCAAAATGAGTAGGAAGCATTCTCCTAGGTCACATTGCACCCATCCTCAAGGAGTACATCCAGCAGGGAGCAGGTCAGGCCAGACACAGCTCTCCACCCTCAGCACCTCATCACTGCCCAGAAGTGGAAACCACGAATCATACATATTGTAGGAGAATTTTCCACTACCCTCTTCCAAATGAAATAAGATGTGCCCGATCAAAAGGCTAAAATACTGTGACTGATAGATATTACTGCTCTTGTGGTGTTTCTCCAAAGGAAATAACCTACCTGGACTTTCATAAGGCAAGGAGGCTCATGCCAAGTTCTCATTTTTAGTTTATTAGACAAATCAAAGCTCTAATGGGGGAGAGTCACATACTTTCACCAAAGTCTAAAAGCTTTCAGTTTTCCACCATATGAATCTAGAAATGACCTCACTCTTGTGTCACTGGAATCAAATAATTAGTATAAGGGCAGTCACTGAGATAGCTGTTAATGCATGCCAGATACATTCCCAAGCAGTTTAGCTTTGTGAAAATCTCATAAGGCGGGGAATGCTATCCCATGTTATAGATGAAGACTTAGACACAGAGAAGTTAAGTGATTTCTCTGGAGATCCGGCTGTTGAGTTGAAACCAGGTTCAAACTCAGGCAGTCTGCCTTGATTATGCAACTAGTTTACAATACTGTGCTAGACTGTGCACATTGCCTCTCCAATTCTGGATTCTCATTAAGTTCCCAAATTTCATATGAGTATACAAAGGGACCTAGTTGCTAGTGTTCTAAGAGCAAAGATAGTAAGTCATTCATACAATGACCAAATGTAACCAATAGATGTACATATTTTCTTTGGTCAATACAATGATTTAAAATAATTTAAATATGAACATATATTAAACCAAGCATCCCTCCGTAATTGTCCAATGTCTCTACCACCTTATAATGCTTCCTACCTGGCCTTACAGCCATCTACCTTTCATATTAGTGTAAATAGCTCATGCAGTATTACCTACCTGACGTGTACTTACAGGCATGTAAACTTGACCTTATAATGAAGAAATGTTCTCAAGATAATGATGTTCATTATTCAAAACTGAATGCCAAAATCTACATAATAATTGACTTCAAATCTTGGCTGACCAAGTAATATGAGGTCACAAAGAAGTCATGTAATCTCTCTGAACCACTTTTATTATTTTCAAAGAGAAAATTTATCTACAACTTAACTATCTTGATATTTTGTGGGAAGTAGGTAACTAGAAGAAGTGTTGCCCCTTTAATTAGTGAATGTGTTATACCTGCAGGCACTGTTGCAGAGCCACTCATCCAGGGCAGAAGAGCAAAGATACCCCAACCATTGGCTAGTTCTAAGAGGCAATATTAAAGGGCTACAAACAGTACACAAAATCATTGATTCCTACGAAGTTGAGACATGAGATAAAGCATTCAAATTGAATTTGGACTGAACCTAATCAGGCCTGTCTTTCTGTTCAGGTGAAGGTGTTTGAGGTTTTAATTACTAGTTAGTTCAGTTAGTATTCCTCACAGGACTGTCTTTAAGCCATGATCTGACTTTTGTTTGTAGCCAGGTTCTAGACGTGGCAATTATGTCCCCATGTTTTCTTTCCAGGGGGAAGAGACACTGCAGGTCTTGGTGGCAAAGGGGGTCCTTATCGTCTGGACGCAGGCCACCCAGTGTATCAGGTTTCTGAGGTGGAAAAAGATGCAGTTCCTGAACATGTCAAGAGAGCTGCAAGAGAGATGGCCCAGAGAGCATTTCAGCAGAGGTGAGTGTGCCTGGTGCATCTGCAACAGTGCAGGTGACTAGCGTGTACACTCACAAACACACACACACACACACACACACACACACACACACACACACACACTTATACAAGTACAAGGCACAGGGACTGTGTCCTGGGATGATACTGAAAAAGGCAAAATCTCTGGGGCTAACATGAGACAAGGCCTATACTCATTCTGAATTTGGAGATAAGAAAACTGTTAGACCATTCCAGAAAGGAAAACTAAAAGCAATCACCAGGGCAGAATGTGTGTCAGAATGGCGGTGTCACTGGGGGAGAGTACCCGCCTGCCTGTCTTGGAACAGCTGGAGAAAGATGGGCAGTGGGTTTTGGTAGACAGGTCTTGTCAGCAGGCTGAGCCTGGAAATCCAAGCCAGGTGAGAGCCTTCAGGTTTCAGATGCACCTCGGTTGCTTTGGGCTACTCTGATTGACCCCCGCTAGAAAGGAAGACTCCACAGGATAGATATTTCATGAGAAGTCCACATGTGCTTTTCAGCAAGAAAGTGAAAAAGTACCAAAGCTGCAGCAAACACCCTTTCAAACTGAGGGAAACACTGGTGGTATAGGGGGCAGATTTCCGTTTCTGTGCCCAATGGAAGGAGCTGGGGGCAACTAGACAAAAACACACTCCAAGTGTGTGTGAGTTATGAAATCCTCCCACGTAGAACATCTGGTGTGTTACTACATGCCGTGCTTTCACATTCTACAAGTAAACAGCAGAGAACAATAGAGACAAAAATTCAGGCCCCACCTGCCACACCCCTCAGGAAAGCCTGCAAGCCTCAGGACCCACATGGTACAGCAGGTAAATAAGGCAGGTCCGCTGTACGTCAGTCTTGCCCTCAGCGTGGTCCCTGGCTTCCCCGGGACCTTCGGCAGGGTAGCTGCTGTGTCCTCACTGTGCCATGCTGGACTCCCTGGAGATGGGCAGCTTCCCACTCCCTTCTCAGAAAAGTTGTGAGGGTAGGTAACTTCTTAGGGATCAAAGTAGCAGTAATTTCTCAGAAAACGTGGGAGGAAAGTTATGTCCTAATGAAGTCTTACCAGCACTAAATTATTTCTGGACATTTCTTATGAATAATAAAGTTTCCTTTGAGCAAATAACTAATAATTAGGCATAAGTCACCCTCTTCAATTAATGAATGACTGTTATTACCATACCCCAGCTCTCACAAGTAACTACCCAGTCTAATTTGCCTACGTGGACATACAAAGAGCCCTGTGGACATACAAAGAGCCCTGACACGTGACTGTTCACAGAAAATAGAAAGGCCTCACCATGGCACTTAGCTATGAGTAAGCCACCTCTTCTCTGGTTACCACTAGAATAAAAACCTACAAGTGTGTGGCGGGGGGGGGGGGGGGGGGGGGGGATCTGTGGTCCTAAGACAACTGAATGTAGTGACTATAAGAGAGGGGAAGGGACTGGGGAAAGGAATAAGAGGGAAATCTTTGTCCCTGACTCTCAGAGAACAGTTCAGCCAAGGAGAGTACTGGTGGCCAAGGGAAGGGATAGGCAGGGTGTGAAAAGGAGGAAATACAACATGCAGAGATTCTGGGAAGGACTGCACAGCCAAACAAGAGAAAAATACTCCTTTAGAAACAGGGTTTGCAACCCATACTGCCAAAAAAATTGTCTTTAACTTTTTATCATGGCTCTTTTCAAGCTCAAAATGTAAGTAAAGAAAAACACACGAACCGTGTGGACCCCCACCCCCAATACCATTCACATTCTCCACTCTGGATTGTTTTGAAGCTAATCCAAGATATTATCTCATCTTGTGATAAATCTCGCAGACTGTGCCTCTGCACATAAGGACTAAAATAAGACAGAATTCCCACAGACCCGCATTCGAGGCCTTACACACATTCATCTTACAGTATTAATTCACTGCTGCCATCTGATTGCTTTCCATGACAGTGAGGCACACACAATGAGGTCAGGTCCCGACGAGCTCACAGCTGGGACCACCCTACCATCCTGCCACTTGTGTGAGTAAGTTTCTCTCCACTGGCTGTAAGTTACACAAGGACAGAACCTGCAGTGTGACAAACACAGAATAAGTGACACACATGTACATTCGGGAGCCAGTATCAGCTGTTAGTACTTGTCCTTGGTATCTGTGGTGGCCTGGTTCCATGTCCCTGCTAAATACTTGACTCTCTTCTATAAAATTATACTACGTGTGTGCTTTGTGTCATTTCTAAAAGTATTCATGGCGCATCAGGCCTTGGATATAGTTAATGAACTAATGTTTAGTTATGGGGAAAGATTTGTGTATGCTTGGTAGAGAAGCAATTTTCTTCTGAGTATTTTCAATCCAAGTTTGGTAGAATCTACAGATGATAAAACTGCAGATCCGGAGGGTTGCCTGTATGCCATCCCCTGTCAGTCCCTGGTTGGGATTAGGAAGTCCTAGGCAGTCCTCACCATTCGTTAGAAGTCTTCTGCAGTGCAGAGGACCTAGTGTGAGCGACGGGTTCCTCATAGCGTTCAGTTGGCACAGATTTAAACCAGATATTGGCCCTGCACATTAAGAACTGATCGATTGAAGCTGACTAAAAGAGACACCAGCATAAGACTTGTAGATCACATACAGAAATGTCACCAACAAGTGAGTGACAACAGGGAAGTGCCTGTGCGCACACAGAAGAGCTGTCTGGTGGGCTGGCCACCCACCACTGTTTGCATAACTCATCAGCTTCACACAGTACATCTTGGCTTATGTCTGCTCTCCTCATACTTGATTCCAAATTATAGTATTTAAGTCTAGCCTATAGAAAAAGTAAAATGAGGACTAAAATTCCCAGACTCTTACATAATGATAAATATACCCTTTAAGCATGTACCACACCAACAGCATGCTGTTTGTCCTCAATGGTTCCCCGATGTGAAGCATCTGAACCCTGCAGCTTTGCTGAAAGGGAAAAAAGGAGAAGCATGCTCAGGTAGTTTGAGGGGCCTGAGAATATCAGCAATGGGACGTTTGTCTAAGCCAGAGGCTGACATTTTCTGCTTTATCTCTCCGATACCTGCTTCAGTCTTCAAGACTCAGAGCTTATGGTCCACTGAGTGTTCTTTGTGAAGGCTGGCATAATCTGAAATATGATTTCCAGGTTTCCTCATAATTGAAATAGCATGTGATGTTTGGGGTGCAAGATGATCGCCCCAGAGATAGCTGTAGAGCTAAAGCTAATTCTGATCTCTCCAAAGGCCACCCTGCTCCAGGGGACTTCCCAGCTGCCCGAGTCCTCTTCTCTGTGTGTATTCCCTCTTCTGTTTCCTTTCCCACCTGCCCCCTACCAGGACAAGCTCTGTCCACTCATTTCCCAATCAGCACTAGTCTGAGTTCTCTGAGAAAGCACTATTAACTAGGCACAAAGTAGGTACACAGTATATCCTACAGTGTTCATTGTGCCCAGCTTTACACTGGGGATATGATCTAACCTAATGCAACTTACAGAGAATTCAGAGACTGTCAAAATGAAACAGAAGAGGTATTGTTAGGAGGGAAAGTCTCATACACACATTTCTTTTTGTTCCTGAGAAGGACATCTTGGCATGTCACCTTGGGGGGTGGCATTTGGATATTACAGTGGCCTAATCTATATTTACCTTTTGATAGCCTGTGCTTTCAAAGTCTTACATAACAGCATGTATTGGATGTCACTCTGTCCCAGGCACTGGGCTTGGTATTGGAGACTCAAAAAGTAAGATGTGGTCTTATTACATATATACATGGTGTCCTGAGCTTCCGCCGTTTCAATCGTATTTTTCCCAGTGTTTTGCCTAAGAATGAAGAATAGAAACCATTTATTCTCCCTCATTTGAGATTCTTCTCCCAACCTCAGGTGATAAATATGCTTTATATGTAATTCCAGCTATGCATATGGATCTATGTCTATGCATACACACAAAAATTTTAAAAGATTGTGTCATGCTTAGACTTTTGAGAGATGCACTCCTTATTCCTTTGTTCTGGTATCAACACCTTCAATATTTATAGACCTGAATGGAAATGTGTGTTAAATTAGTGCACTGTGGTTATCATATTGGAAAACCCAAGAGCATTCACTCAGTGGAAGGCCCTCCTATCTAGGATTCGCTTCACATAGCCTTGCTTTGTTTTGACTTTAACTATCTAGGAGGCCAGAAGAAGGCATCAGAACCCTTGGAGCTGCAGTTGCAGGCAGTTGTGAGCCACCTGGTGGGACTGTTTGCATGAGAGAAGTCGTCATATACACAGTACAGTGGGAGCATTTTCCTTCTTCCTGGGGGACAGTTTGTTCATCAATTACCAGTGTGCCTCTGACATTACCCTCCTTTGAACCTAGGAGCGTCACTGGTGACATCATCTCTTGCTTTTTCTCCTCAAAGTATGAGTCACCAAGGAGTTGCTGCAGTTCTGTTAGTATGTGAGCACGTGTAAAAGGCTCATACAAACATGGCGTAAGCAGATGTCTTCTCTCACCCTCTGGTTTCAGGCTAAAGGAGATCCAAATGAGTGAGTATGACGCGGCAACCTATGAGCGGTTTTCAGGCGCTGTTCAGCGGCAGGTGCATGCCCTCCGAGTCATCCTGGATAACTTGCAGGTAACCTTTCCTTTGTGCACAAAATCTGGACATTCACCAAAACTGCTGGAGAAAGATAATCCGAGACCTAAGCAGCCAGTCAGTAAAAGTCATTTCAGAGTTGACACACAAACCATGGATTCGGCCCAGCTGACCTCGCCTTTCTTCCTGTCCAGGAAGCAGTAATTTTACCAGTACCCATCCCAGACAGTGACTTCCTGACTCCCCTCGGGGAAGATCTGTGTACATCTCACCTCTCCTGGAAGTTCACAAATAGAACTCTCTCCCTACAAATCATTTTACCGCCACTGAAGAAGCAGAGGGACCAATTAGATCAGCCAGGGAATGCTTTCTCTACATCCCTGTCACCTCCTCTTCCTGCCCTCCCCTGGCCTTGTATTACCCTGGCTTTCTGCTGTTGCACCATGCCCTCAGTGTCTCAGGACCAGTGGACACTGGTACAACTTAAATATTAAGACATTTCTGTATTTCCTATTATTTCTGTTCAGTGTATTCCCTAAATGACACATAATATCAGATTATTTTGTCCAATGAGCAAAGCCTCACCTGGGAGGGGGAATGTCTAACTGACCCTGCTCTGCAGCCTACATTTCTTTCCCATTGAGTTTTTTATTTTGGTTGCCTTCAGTTTACTCTTTGGTATTTGTTATTGTTCTTTTGAAGGAATGTTTATCATGTTTTGTGAGATATTAGAGTGTGTGTGGTGCAGCTTTAATCCTGTCTTATTCCAGAATTCTGACACTTCAGTGTGTGTGTGTGTGTGTGTGTGTGTGTGTGTGTGTGTGTGAAGAATGCCATGTGTGCCTGTGTGAATGCAGTGCCCACAGAGGCCAGAAGAGGGCATCCTTCGGGGCTGCAATCGTAGGCAGTTGTGTGCCACCTGATGTAGAACTCAGTCTTCTGGAGACACTTGCAGCACTCTTGGTGTTGGGTTATCTCTACTTCCCTCCTCCCTCCCCCTGTGCTCCCAATTTACTCAGGAGATCTTGTCTCTTTCCCCTTCTCAGGGGAGTCCATGTATGTCTCTCTTAGGGTATCCTTGCTACCTAGCTTCTCTGGGGTTGTGGACTGTAGGCTGGTAATGCTTTGCTCTATGTCTAAAATCCACTTATGAGTGAGTACATACCATGTTTGTCTTTCTGTGTCTGGGTTACCTCACTCAGGATGGTTTCTTGTAGTCCCAACCATTTGCCTATGAATTTCAAGAGGTCATTGTTTTGTTTTCCACTGAGTAGTACTCCATTGTGTAAATGTACCACATTTTTCTTTATCCATTCTTCAGTTGAGGGCCATCTATATTGCTTCCAGGTTCTGACTATTACAAACAATGCCACTATGAACATAGTTGAACAGATGTCCTTGTGGTATAAATGTGCATCCTTTGGGTATATGCCTAAGAGTGGAATTGCTGGATCTTGAGGTAGACTGATTCCCATTTTCCTGAGGAACCACGGTACTGATTTCCAAAGAGGCTGTACAAGTTTGCATTCCCACCAGCAATGGAGGAGTGTTCTCCTTTTTCCAAATCCTCTCCAGCATAGACTGTCATTGGAGTTTTGATTTTAGCCATTCTGACAGGTGTAAGATGGTATCTCAGAGTTGTTTTGATTTGCATTTCTCTGATGGCTAAGGATGTTAAGCAATTTCTTAAGCGCCTTTTGGCCATTTGAGATTCATCTATTGGGAATTCTCTATTTAGATCCTTACCCATTTTTTGTTTATTTTTTCGAGACAGGGTTTCTCTGTGTTTCTTTAGAGGTTGTCCTGGAACTCACTCTGTAGACTATGATGGCCTCTAACTTACAGAGATCTGCCTGCCTCTGCCTCCAGAGTACTGGGATTTAAGGCATGTGCCACCAATGCCTGGCCTGTACCCCATTTTTAAATTGGATTATTTGGGGTTTTGGTGACTAGCTTGAGTTCTTTGTATATTTTGGAGATCAACCCTCTGTCAGATGTGGGGTTGGTGAAGATGTTTTCCCATTGTGTGGGCTGCCATTTTGTCTTATTGACTGTGTCCTTTGCCTTACAGAAACTTGTTTCAGGAGGTCCCATTTATTAATTGTTGATCTCAGTGTCTATGCTACTGGTGTTATGTTCAGGAAGTGATCTCCTGGGCCAGTGCATTCAAGGGTACTTCCCACTTTCTCTTCTAAGAGTTCAGTGTGGCTGGGTTTATGTTGAGGGCTTTGATACATTTGGACTTAAGTTTTGTGCATGGTGATAGATATCGATCTATCTGCAATCTTCTACATGTCAGCATCCAGTTATGCCAGCACCATTTGTTGAAGATGCTTTCTTTATTCCATTGTATAATTTTAGCTTCTTTGTCAACAATCAGGTGTTCATAGGTGTGTGGATTAATATCAGGGTTTTCAATTAAATTCCATTGGTCTACCTGTCTATTTTTTGTGCCAATACCAAGCTGTTTTCATTACTATAGTTCTATAATAGATCTTGAAGTCAGGGATGGTGATACCTCCGGAAGTTCCTTTATTGTACAGGGTTGTTTTGGCTATCCTGGGTTTTTTGTTTTTCCATATGAAGTTGAGTATTGTTCTTTCAAGTTCTGTGAAGAATTGTGCTGGTATTTTGATGGGGATTGCATTGAAACTGTAGATTGCTTTTGGTAAGATTGCCATTTTTACTATGTTGATCCTACCTATCCAAGATCATGGGAGATCTTTCCATTTTCTGGTATCTTCTTTAATTTCTTTCTTTAAAGACTCAAAGTTTAGAGTTACCCCAAGATATTTTATGTTGTTTGTGGCTATTGTGAAAGGGTGATGTTTCTCTGATTTCTTTCTCAGCCCATTTATCATCTATATATAGCAGTGCTATTGATTTTTTTTTAGTTAATCTTGTATCCTGCCACTTTGCTGAAGGTGTTTATCAGATGCAGGAGTTCCCTGGTTGAATTTTTTGGGTCACTTATGTAAACCTTATATATAATCTTATATATAAACCTTATATATAATAATTCTTATATATAATCATAAGACATGGTGTACCATCAGCCAGATGCCAACACCGCATTCGCTCATGTTCCCTATTGAATCTTGATGTAAACCCATAGGGGAATTGTTTCCAGGCAGATCTACTAATACTCAGGTCATAGTCACCAGGCTGCTTAAAAACATAGCTACTGGCCAAGAACAGATGAGGCCTCATGTAAACTATAAAACTGCAGATTGTGGCCAAAGCAAGAAGACTTTGATTTGGCTGCTTCCTGCCACCTTCGGCCAATCCTGTGTGACTCTGAGTAACTAAACCCCTCCAGCTGTTTTGACGTTGCTGTGTAATCCTAGTAACCATGGGTGTTTCCATGGTTTCTGGCCATACTCTGTACACTCACCAACAAGATGGCTCTCCAGACCACAGCTTCAGTTCCACAGATTTGATTCCATTCAGCATGGGCTATTGCTCTTACAATAGCCAATAGAAATGAAATTACTGGGAAAATGTTATTAAAATTGAATACAAAATACAGGAACATCCCCCCCACACACACACACACCAAGGGGTGGAAACAGGGTCTTTGATGTTCCAGCTAACCTCAAACTTCCTACCTCTGCCTCCTAAGTCTTGAGATTATAGGCAGCCTCATGACTGTGTGTGGAGGAGGGGAAGGGGGCTATGCATGTGAGTGCACCACTGTGGAGGCCAGAAGTGGGACTCAGGTCCCTTGGAGTTGGAGTTACAGGTGGTTGTGAGCCAACCAACCGACATAGGTGCTAACTGAAGTCGAATCCTCTGTAAGAGCAGTAGGTGCTCTAACCATTGACCCGTTTCTCCAGCCCCATATGGTGGTAACCTATACAATAACAAACCATAATGCTCTGGCCACTTTATTACAGCAAGATCACTACAGATTTGATGGTTTATTTCTTGCCTACAGCTGATCTTATAGAGGTTTTTTTTTTTTTTTTTTTTTTTTTTTTTTTTTTTGTCAGTTGAGGTTCCCTCCTCTCAGATGACTTTAGCCGGTGTCAAGCTGATATAAAACTATCCAGCACAGAGTTCTTTATCATTTAAATGTCCTCTTGGGCCACCTGGCATAGTTATAAGTTACTGTGGCAAAGCACATGTGGAAATACCTTTTGAAAAGTAATTCAGATGATTCCCAGATCTAGAAAAGCAGAGAGCCTCGTGGGGGCACAGGCTGCTCCCGTCCTCCTCAGCTGTTTTAGTCCCCACACTAAGTCTCAGGAATTTGAGTAGCAAAAACTGCTGTCCAGAGGGAAACCACTGAAGATCAGCTTACAGACTCTGTGACCGTTAACAAGTTAAAGCTGATTATTTTGTTACCTAATAAATTTCCTAGGTTTGCTGTGACAGAAAAATCCTTAAGAAATATGTCATCATTACATTTCCAGACATTGAACTTTCCCCTGGGGTTTATTTGCATGCCGTCTTCCTGTTCATATGTCCTTTGTGTGTGTTCTTTGCATTGTTCCTCGTGTTAAAACAATTACAACTGGCAAACACACACACACACAAAGCCTCTCTTGTAAGCAGAGCAGGGAGCATGTGACTACTTTGTTACAGAGCCATCTCTTACTGATAGGATCCTGGAGCATTTCCTGTTATTCATGCAAAAGTGTGTCAAAGAACTGAGTACATAAAGATTCAAGTGCATGTGTTTGTGACATTGCAGGCAAAAGGTAAAGAAAGACAGTGGCTAAGACACCAAGCTACTGGGGAACTAGACGATGCCAAGATCATTGATGGGCTGGCTGGAGAAAAAGCCATCTACAAACGTCGGGGTGATCTGGAACCCCAAGTAAGTAATGGGGAACCCTGAGCCTCAGGTCTACATAGTTAAGCCTTCTGTAGAGGTTCATGAGTTGTGTCAAAACACCATTGACCCAGAATATACAGCTACATTATGTAAGACAGATAAATAAAAAGTCTCATCAAGACATGGAACACACACACACACACACACACACACACACACACGATAATTTAAAGAAACAATCGATACAAGGACCAGGCATGGTGATGCAATCTTTTAATCCCAACACTCAGGAGGCAGAGGCTCTGTGAGTTCAAGGCCAGCCTGATCTATATAGCAAGTTCCAGAGCAGCCAGGGCTACATACAGACACCCTGTCTCAAATCAGCACAAAGCTTGTTTACAAAGGAAGTATAAGCTTTAATCAAATCCAGAGGAGTTAGCAGCAGGGATCAAAGTGTGACAAGGTACAGGCAGGTAGAGAAGGGAGTAAATGCTAAATCCTGAAAAGGCCAGTTCACAGAGCTACAGCCTTGAGCAGAGGGAAAGCCAGCCTTCCTACCCCACCAGCTCAGGCAAAGAAGAAACTGAGAACAGTACCAGCATCCCTCCCTCTGACCACCCATATCCTATCAGTACAACATCCAGAAAGCCGAGAGCTACCTGTGTGGCAGCCTACAGGTCCTCTTCCACTGCAGAGCAGTGTTCTGTTGGTGGGAGGAATGGGGACACTGCTGTTTATGAATCCCAGAGACGTCTTCAGGGACCAGGGCAATCTCCGTGGTCCTGTTCTCCTGGAGCTTTAAGAACCTCTGTCTGTCAAATGCCTTTAGTTTTTAGAAAACAAGGAATTCTCCCCTAAGTTACACTAATTATAGTAAATAAGCATTTGCCATACTGTGGCAACGTGGTCGAACATTGAATGTTATGAGCTTTGGGGTTTTCTATGGTAGCTGCTGAGGGCAGGGTGCAGTGAGACAGTAGGAATGCCGCTCTCTCAAATGTTTCCTCAGAGTGGATCTGGTGGCTCTTATTTGTGTCATTGCCATGAGTCAACAGCTGCTTCCCTTACTGACTCACTGTGGTAAGCAAGTGTTTGGACACATCTGTGACTTAGCCACAGATGTATGTGTGTGCCACTGCTTCTAATTGGGGCAGACTCAGCAAGTTTTAAAGAAATATATTAAATTTGCTTCCTACTGTTATGATCTAAGCATCTGTGGCGCTTTCAGTTTTTTTTATTTATTTAGCTTGTGTATATGTAGGGGCCATGCACGGCACAGCAGGCATATGGAAGTCTGAGGTCTCTCCTTCTACCATGCAGTCCTGGGAATCAAACTTACCTACCAAGCCATCTCACCAGCCCCCTACAGTATTTTCTGGAAACTATTAGTTCTACTCATTATTTTTCATGCATGTCAGCAAGTATATAACAGAATAATCTGGAATTTTTCTTATTTATTGCTACTGACAAACTTTTTAAAAATTTTGCGCATTGGCAGATCCGGGCTCCAAACCAACCTCATAAGGTTTCACGTTTTTAATCAGTAGTTTTTGCCAGACGGCAGCTCAGTGCCAAGAAGAGAAAAAAGAAACACTAGTTCACTGCAAAAGAAAAAAAAAAAAAGCTTAAGAATTGAGACATTCTGAAAATGCTTCCTCACGTTTTTGGCCAGACTCCCTCTCATATAACTATGTCTTGGCAATCTGGCCTAGGTAGAAAATGATCTTCAAGTGAAGCTGATGTGGGCTCTCCTCCAGTTACACACTCTCTCTCCAGGAGAGGGGTGCTGAGACATCCAGTAAATGACATGGGTTTCTATCCTTCTAGATTTGTATGTCTAAAATGCTATTTTTATGCAGTCGGCCTCCAGAAGGCTGCTTTTACTATATTCCAGAAGAAGCGATTCCCATGTGGTCCCGACGGCCACTGCCAACCGATAGCCACTTGCTGAGAATAGTCACCCCCTCTACCCACTGGGACAGCCCCGTGCAGGCCTCAGCCTGGGGCACATCTTCCCAACTTGGGCTGGCCCTGCAGACTCTGGGTGGGAACCCAGGATGGCAGCTGACCATGTTTTCCCACCATTCCCTCCCTCAGCTGGGTAGCCCACAGCAGAAGCCCAAGCGCCTGCGCCTGGTGGTAGATGTTTCTGGCAGTATGTACCGCTTCAATGGGGTGGATCGCCGACTAGAGCGCTCCATGGAGGCGGTGTGCATGGTCATGGAGGCCTTCGAGAACTATGAGGAGAAGTTCAAGGTAATGGCATGGGCTGGGGACCTAGGAGTTCACTGATCACTACTGCTGGGCTAGGGTCAGCAGTGGAAGCAGACTCTACCCAGAACACTGGACACCTACTCTCACCAGCTCATCTGTCAGCAGGGAAAGCGGCCTACTGCTTCCCTGTTCTAATGGTCACATAATTGAAGGGCCTGATAAACCTCTGGTTCCCACAGAGGAAAGCATGCAACATACAAGCTGTGCGATGTTCCTACAAACACTGAAGTCTTCCCAAATTTCCCTGGGTATCCTCATCCCGGTGCCCCTTAGCACCGACACACGTCACCAGCCAGGGTCCGTGCACCACCTGGCAATGTCCTGCTCTCTGCTTCACATTCCCTCTCCACATGGACAGTAGATAGACGATGGGAAAGGTCCCCAGCTGACATGAAGATGCACTTCCGGGAGACAGCAGCCTCCTGCTCACTTCCAGCTTGTTGTTCTTCATCTTGCTATGAACTCCTCCATTTCAGAGGTCTGAGTATTGGGAGGACATCCCCTATGCCACTGTGCTGCCAGCCAGTATGAACCCATCTGATCGTGGCCATGCACAGGAAGAGCTGGCATTGCAGCAGGCAACCTGGGCACTGCACATGCCAGAGAGACATGGTGTGTACAGACACTGAAGGACTCCCAGACCTAACCTCAGAACTCTAGATTTCGTACTGGATAAAACAACCCCCAAGGAACAGACAGTGTTGAATCAGTTGCCATTACATCACCCCACCTGTACCCTAGGACGGCTTCCCGTGCCATGGCTGTTTCACTTATGCTCCTTGTGAAGGATGCAGCCCTCTGGCCCTCCCTGGTCCCTGCAGAAAAGATTTTCAGATGTAAGTGGTAACAAACAAGCAGCACCCAGCAGTGAGTGCCGTGGGGCTGCAAGGCTCTACACATACAGAGGTCCAAACACAAATAACACATGACCTAGCAGGAGCAGGAGCTCTGCTCCCATCCCTCGTGGTCACTGAAGACCATGGAACTATTCAAGAGTCCCTCTGGGCTCTATTACAGTTGCCAGGAATCCCAGAGCCCAAATCAAAGGCTCACTGTGAGAGGGTGACAGGCTGCTCCAGGAAATCTGGGAAGAGACCTTGCTTCTGAGTAACCTGGTGGCAGACATGACACGGCTTCTGTGGGAGCCGGAGGTGGTCAGTCTTTAAAGCACTGCTGTTGGAGCAGAAGGAGCAGCAGGCTTCCGGGGACTGCCGTTCAGACTTTCCCTCTCTGGAGCCACACCTCATGGGTGGCTGCATCTTGACTTTCCTTATAGAAAATGTGTGTTTAAATCATTTTGACCCCTGATGGCCAGTGGGTGTCTATGGATCAGTATAAATAACCACACCCCATCGAATGTTCAAAAGGCTGCCCCAGCATCCCCTTGATTTCATCAGCTCTTTCCAGGTCTTCCCTCTGTCATATTGTCTCATGCCTGAGGTTTGACTGGCTACAGACCCCCTCTGTAGAGGACAGAAAAGTGACAGAATCCCATGTCTGTGAGAGCCTTTCCTGCTTCTAATTAGATGTTTGAGGGTACATGAGGGATAGGTGTACACAGTACAGAGGGGGGGGGGAAGAACCGAGACTTGGGCTGCCCCCTCTCAGATTCCAGCTGCATCAGTGTAAGAAATACTTGCTGTTCCTTACATCATCATTGTTCCCAACCACTTGTCTGTCTGTACTTTCAGTTTCTTGTTTATGAAAGAAGAAACAGTCCAGCAATAACTACTGAGAGGTTGTAACTTATCAGAAAATAGAAGGTGACTCATGAGGAGATGATGGTTAGTGGACTACCCAGTGTGGCGTCACATGGTGTCTTTAGGATTTAGCCATGTGACTTGAAGCTCCTATGCTCAGTTCCAGACAGTGCTTAATTCAGTCTTCCTGCAGTCTGCCCTGGGCACTTCTGAAGGCTGCATTTGCTCTGCAGCCTTCAGAAGTGCCTCCTGGTGTGGTGGTCTGCGTGTTCCCCGTTCCCTCTTGGCATCTGCTTGTGTTGTGTTTGGCTAGAGCTCAGTGCTGACTTGTGGGTCATTACAGTCTGTAGTCCGCCTCCACTTACGCCAAACCACAGGGACCCTCAAGCATGAGAATTACTGAGACAGAAAGGTAATTCAGCAGCTTGACATTTGCTAAGGCACTTGAAGTCTTTAAAGTACCTAAGAGTGTTCAACCATCTGACTTCACATATTCCAGAACAGCACAAGTTATTGACAGCATCATTCCCACTGTCCACACAGCACTTAGGCAGAATGCTATCAATTATGTAAACAGTTTTATTTTGATCAGGAAGCTTTTTTCCCCTTTAACTTCACTCCAGTTTGTCCTTTTCTTCAAGCTCCTGGGAGTTTTCATTGTCATCTTAAAATAGACTTTCTTTTCAAAGTACTCAATAACACCGAAAGTTTTGTCACTATTTTTCTACTAAATTTTAAAATAATGGTACCAGAAAATGGATTTATTCTCTCATTCAGAAACTGGGCTTTGGAAAGAAAACAACTTAAATATATTATTTCTATGAAGGTGTGTAAGCCATGCTCTAAGGCAAACAGTATATAAGGACTCTGGTGGGGAACCTGTGGGCAGAGGGCACAGGCAGCCCTTTTCCATGGACCCCTACTCCCCCAGCTCTGCTAAAACACCTCCACTTACCTTGATTCTGCACAGTGTTGCACAAAGTGGACTTCAGAGAGTTTTCCATTTGGACCAAGGATTCCATAGCTAAAACATTTTAAACGCTGTGGACTCGGAATGCCTTGGCGGTGAAGAATGTGCCCAGTGTTCTGGCTTCCTTTCGATGCTGCAACAAACACCAAGAACAAAAGCACTTTAGGGATAAAAGCGTATTTGGCTTCCATCTCCAGGTCTCTATCCACTGAGGGAGTCAGGGCAGGAATCATGAAGGAACGCTGCTTATGGCTATGCTCAACTTTCTTATACAACCCTCTATCTAGATACAGAGCCATCTACAGTGAGCTGGGTCCTCTCTCACAGAGATGACCCCAGACCAGGCTGTTTAACAGAGGTCTTCTCTTCCTATGTTAATGATATAAACTAACCAGGACACCGAGCCTGTATACAAGGCCTTGGGTTCTGTTCTCAACACACACACAAAGATGAAAAAAAAAGCCCACTCTTCTAGAAAGTCTGAGGACTTTCCCTCTGTAGACAGTGCCGTTGATCATCACACCTCACATGTATGAATCCTCTCCTTGACACAAGTGCTCCTCAGACTACCAGAAGCCAACTTTCCATTCCATTTCTTGGATATTCCATTAAATTGTCATCCAACCTTGGAGCTGGGAATTATTTTCACCAACCTCTTTCCACAAATGCAAAAAAAAAAAAAAAAAATTCAAAGACGTTAAATACTTGTCCCAGGTCACACCACTAGATAGTGAAATGCCAGGACTTCTCACCCCACATTTGAAGATCTTTCTTACTTTGTTTTTAAATCATATTTCTGTTTTACTTATGCCCAAACTTATACCAAATCAGTATTTTTTAAAAAATCATTCAAAAGTAAATCTTATCATCTTTCATCTCCTACTTTTAATATCCCAGCAGGCAAGGGTGGTGTAATAGACATGATTTCTTTGAGGATATTTTGGTCAGGAAGTCTATATTACTTCCCAGAAGGCTATAGAAAGATCTGACTCACTGATGCCTGCTGGGAAATTCCTTCTATCACACATTTAGCCGAGTGTCTCTAATTATTCCTTTCCCAGTGCCTTAAGGACATTGCTTGAATTTAAATACAGAGACCAGTCATCCTATCAGGTTTAGGCTCTCAGTATATTTGTACTATTACCCAGAGATAGGACTCCCCCAAAAAGTACACAAAGTTTATTGAGTCCATTCAGAATGGACCCAGTAACTGACAGAAATATTGGCCGCAAGACACAAAAAAGCTTAAAGAGAGCTGTAGGAATAGCTTGGGGAAATCACTATTTCTCTGTAGTGTCTAGGATTAACAAGCAGGCACATGAATTTAGACAACATTCCATCTCTGTCTTAGGAAAGGCTGATGGTCCTTCCCAGCATCAGTGTTAACACCCACAGCAGAGCTGGTTCAAAGAATCTTTATGAAGATGCTGTGTGGGTGAGGACAGCAAAGCAAGTATTAACCATCATCACTAAATGGATTGCTCTATACTGACTTCTCATCAGAAGGCTAAGGGAGCATAGCCTATCCCCAAACCAGAAGTGAGGATCCTTCCTGATGGAAGTTGAGGCCTCAGTCATGCCCATGAATGTGCAGGTAGCTCTGGGTGTGTGGAGCTCCCTTTGCTGTCTGCTTTAAATTCCTGCTGGGTGGTAAATGTCTGTGTCTTCATTGAGACGCTGATTTGCTTTATATTTGTTATGCCTTCCTCTAAAGGAATGAGGTTCTCAAAACAAACCTAGCAAAGGGGATCTAAACAAATTGTAAAGCAAAGCAGCATTGGAGGGGAGCCCTCTCAAGGGCTGTCATTTAGTATTTATGCTGAATGCTAAGAACAAGACTCCTCAAAGATTTCCAGGATACTTGGTGAGCCACTTAGAAAAATTACAGCCCAAACATTGAGTGGTTGATAGGACAATGGGGCTCTTGTTTATCGAGTCCTGTGCTGCTCCGTGGAAACACGTGTGTGGCCTATCCCAGCTGGATTAAATGATGGTACTGGCAGGGCCCAGCCTGGGTGAACGGTAGGGTCAAGAGTCAGAGAATGGAAATGAATGACTCCAACTTGTTGTGATACCACACTCCTGTTACCCTAGCACTGAGTGGCTGAGGCAGGAGGATCATGAGTTTGAGTCTAATCTGGCCTACATAATTTCTCACAAATAAGAACAGAGAGAGTTCATATTATGTTTCCCTTGAATTCAAGACAGTTCTAAGGAGAAGAAAATTACTGTTTTTAAACATGTTGAGATACATGAGTAAAGGCCTACCTGGTTGCATCCATTATTATCTAATTAATCCCAACCATCCCTTAAAGGGGAGGAAAAAACAGTCAATCATAGTCCTCTTATCGCAGTGCAGCATGGGAATCTGCTTGTCTCCTCTGTGTGAGCTGCTCTTTAATAGGTACTTCAGCAGCCTGGTAGTACAGGCCAAGGCCCAACTACTCAGGCAGGAGCTTTGGAGCTTCAAGAGCCACCTGGAGACCAGGCTAGCCTGGAATACTAGTAAGACCCTCTGCCAAAAAGAGGGCTAGAGATAGAACACAGTGGGAAAGTACTTGCCTAGCATAGCTGAGGCCCTGGGTCAATGCCCAGCACCACAAAGAGGAGAGGGGAGGGAAAGGGAAGCACATAATCCCTCAGCCCCTGCTCTAGCTCTCCCCTGACCACACCCTCCCAGGGGAGGTGTATATGGAATCTAGGGGCCAGGCCTTCCTCCAAATTCTGACTACCCAGATGAATGGCCCACCTCTTCTCTCAGCTCCTTCACGGACCTCTTCCCTAGGCCTGCCTTCCTCGGGCAGGTTCAGATGGAGTAAGCCAGACAGGACCCGAGGCAAGAAGGCCCCCTGTATTGTCATGTTAGGCCACATGCTTAATCTGATCCTGGCTTCACAACTCATTCACAGTGTAAATTTACCAAAGCAGGAAACAGAGCATGTTTGACCTGGCCATTTGGAGACAGATTTATAGTTTCCAAAGGTTTAGCCACCCTGTGTAGACCTCCAGTTGTGTCCTCCTGGGGATGGAAGCTACATCTTCACCTCCAGCCTCATCTCCTCAGCACCCAGTTCCGGCACATCCAAAGTGGAACTCATCTTTCCCAGATAATGCTACCGCTTCCTGTTTTAATGTGGGACACTTTCACCAGGAACTTTTCAACTTCCCATTTCAGATGTGGCAGCCTCGGCAATGTTAGATTGCGTTTGTCATCTGGCTTAGGAAAAACAGCATTCTGGTTTCTAGATTGATTGTAAAAGAATGTAGTCCACAAACAAAAGGCAAGCTGATTGCCATTTGTAAGCTCTCAGGGCATTTCTGCCACAAACATGCTCAACATTGTCACAGAAGCTAAAAGTGCAAAGATGAATCTCTCAAGAGCTTGCCTTTAAAGAACGTCCATTTTCAGAGGCGCAGCTGGGGAACAGCTTGATCACACCTAGTGGGGGTTACAGCAGGTGTCTGGGGGACAGTAGTTGATTAATGCTGGATTGTCAGATGTCCCAAATGTCCCCTAAAGTCTTCATCCCCAGATCCACACTATTTTCTTTACACATACTTCAGTGTCCCAACCTTCATGTCATCACAAAATGTCTTTAATAGAAGTGGAAGAGTGGGCTGGAGAGATGGCTCAGAGGTTAAGAGCACTGACTGTTCTTCCAGAGGTCCTGAGTTCAATTCCCAGCAACCACATGGTGGCTCACAACCATCCGTAATGAGATCTGGTGCCCTCTTCTGGCCTGCAGGCATATATGGAGGCAGAATGTTGTATACAAAATAAATAAATAAATAAATCTTTAAAAAAAAAAAGTGGGAGAGTTCAGAGGGACAGTGGGAGAGACTGACCCTTCCCACATTGTCCACCTCTGACCTCTTTTGAAATTCTGTAGACATGCAGCCCCTGACTCCCAACCCTGACCTCTTCTCAACAGTCAGGACTTTCTCCTGTGCCCAGAAGACAGAGAATTGAGAAGCGCTCTCTAAATTGAAAGATACACGCCATGTATTAACAAGTGGAAAAGCATATTATACAGTCACGTGGTCGATACCATCCAAAGTTATGTTGATGTGTTTGTATATTACTATGCAGCTTGACATGTCTGTTAGAAGGAACTAAATACCCAAGGGCCTCAGTCATAGAATATTTTCAGAGGTTATCTTGAACACGATTGTGGATAGTTTTGGCCTTTTTGTGCTTTAATTTCTTTCTTTTTTTTTTCCGGGGGGGTGAGGCGGGAGTTGGTTTCAAGGCAGGGTTTCTCTGTGGCTTTGGAGCCTGTCCTGGAACTAGCTCTTGTAGACCAGGCTGGTCTCGAACTCACAGAGATCCACCTGCCTCTGCCTCCTGAGTACTGGGACTTAAAGGCATGCGCCACCAACGCCATGCCTTGTGCTTTCATTTCTATGAGTTTGTTTTACTTTTAGAAACTAGAGATGTACGTTTCTTCTTCAGGCTGCGATTGTTGGTAGAACTGAGTTGTTCAGAATCATGGCCAGAAGTCCCTAATTTCCTGCTGGCTCTCAGCTTCTGGAGGCTACTGATGCTCTTTTCCACAATCCCTTCCGTCTCCATCATAGTTAACTCCTTTATGTCAGGTCTCTCTGATGCTTCAAATTTACCTTCTCCTTCTATCAGCAGCCAGGGGGGGGAAAAAAAAAACTGCTTTGAAAGGGCTCTCTGTGCGATTGGGTTAGGCCCACTAGGTAATCTCTCTTTTGATTAACTCACAGTCAAGTAAACTTAATTACATCACCAGAACCCTTTTTGTCCTGGAAGTTAATGTAATCATAAGTGATATCCCATTATGCTTACCAGACTTGACCACAATTATGGAGAGAATATAGAGAGCACAGGCGTGGCAGCTAGAATCTTGCCTAACACCGTGTGTCTACTTCTTACAAAGTCTCCCTTGAAATTTACACATGAAATTGGGAGTATCCCCTAAAGTCCTCAGCATCCCTCCCACCTCTTTCCAGGGGGCAGAGATCTCAGAAGAAGGTGGACCCAAACAGAGTGAGTCCAAAATGTGTTTGTTTTTGTTGATAGCATACATCTGCCTCTCTGTCTTTCTGTTTTCCTTTACGGCCAATCCCAGGCTGGGAGTCTATAGGACCAATGATCACTCTGTCACTCACTGATGCCCATACTCATCTCTGACTCTCTCACGTGTAGTATGACATCGCTGGACACTCAGGAGATGGTTACAACATTAGCCTTGTTCCAGCTAACAAAATCCCCAAAGACAATAAGCAGAGACTGGAAATTCTGAAGGTAAATACATTCTATTCCTTCTGTATCATGAGAATCTCTATTGGATAAAAGCAAGAAGGAGTCACTGAAGAAGCAGTAGATAAATTATATACTTTCAGACACTGAGTAGAGACCATCTTTTGTGTTTAAATTCCCTTTCCCACCAACTAAATTTAAGTTTTCCCTGTGTGTTTTCAGTATTTTGTTGGGTCTGAGCATCTAACATCAGAGCTTCTCCCAGTCAGACGGCCATGCTCAGTAGTAAGGAAAAAATAGCTCTTTTTAGGGTACTCTGTATTCCAAATCTCATAGTTCTCTTAGTACTTGTGAATGATAAATTCAGTTTCACATACTTAAATCTGCAGTAGACAACATGATTTTACCCTTTTGCCACCAGAAACAGTGTTCAGCATCACAGATTAACTTGTGTACTAGAAATTCAACCCGTTCCTTCTTTTTCTCCTGCATCTTGCCCTTCTTCTGGGTGATACCATGTTACATACATATTTTCTTGCTTTAAGTAGAAGGTTGAATTTTAAAAGTGTCCATTGTGAACATTTGGGAACACTGCCTGTTTCTAAGGAAGCTAGCCCCAATGGTACTCTGTTGTCACTTAGTGTGTCAATCAAAAGGCTGGCACTCTGTCAATAGAAAACTTACCATGTTTATGAAAATGAGTTGCTCACCCATGGTTTCTGTGCCCTGATTCTTACTTCCAGACCATGCATGCCCACTCTCAGTTCTGCATGAGTGGGGACCATACCCTCGAAGGTACAGAACATGCCATCAAGGACATTACCAAAGAAGAAGCTGATGAATACTTTGTCATCATTTTAAGTGATGCAAATCTGTCTCGATATGGAATAAATCCTGCCCGGTTTGCCCAGATCCTAACAAGTGACCCTCAAGTTAACGCCTTTGCCATTTTTATTGGTTCTTTGGGGGATCAAGCAGCCAGGTAAGCATTGTCATAGCAGACAGTAGGTATAATAAATATATGACATGTGTTGTTTCTCAGACCTCAGACTGAGGGGCTGGGGAGGGCAGGTAAAACAGGGTCTAGGAAGTCTAATGTTATTCTTGGGATGCACAATACCCTGGCTTGTTTGGGCAAGCAATCATAATTTGATGAACATGATGCTCTAGGGTTTTTTGGACAAGAATTTATTATTTTAATTATTTTATAAAATAAATAATTACCAAATTGATTTACCCCTAATAGGTTATACAGTATTTTATAGGTTAGGTACTTTATAGAACCCCCCCCCAAGCCCAGTCTAATCAGTTTGTGTTCAGATCATATTCAAGTCAGTAAATATAGAGAGCTGTAGCTCAGTGGTAGAACATTTGCCTAGCATGCATGAAGCCCCAGGTTAGATCCATAGTATTGCCAAAAAATAAAAAATAAAGGAAACCAACAATGGTAAATTTCCTAGCATAACAAAAATTGTATTCATCTATATGTAATATGTGTCTGTTTGGTGTGTGTAAACAGACATTGTCTCAGTCACTATTCTGTCACTGTGAAGAGATACTATAACCAAGGCAACTCTTATAAAGCAAGCATTTAATTGGGTTGGGGGCTTGCTACAGTTTCAGTGGTTTAGTCTGTGACCATCATGACAGGACGCAAACAGGCATGGTGCTGGAGCAGGAGTGGAGAGCGATCTGAGCCTATGGGCCGTCCTTATTCAAACTACCACAGACATATAGAGACTTGCATGAGTGTGTGCATACATAGCCTCATAAGCAAACTTCAATAAGGGACATTAGTGTACATTTAGACATGTGTGTATATATAAGCATACATGTATATGCCTACATATGAATGTATGTATGTATGTAAATCTATGTCTCTTACTAGAGAGATAAGTAGGTGAGACACCTTAGACACAAATGAAGACTCTGTGTGTGTGTGTGTGTGTGTGTGTGTGTGTGTGTGTGTGTGTGTGTGTGTGTGTAGTTATATGTTATAGTGAACATGCTGCATGATAACTGTAGGAAATTTATAGTCAGACAATAAGTGCCTCTGGGATAACCCAAAAGGAGAGGCCAGGAAACACCGTCCCTAACTTACACACACTAACAGAAAGCATTCCTGGTTTGTGTGTTTGCCTAAAATACTCATAACAGGCAGAAAACACAACTGAAAGTGTATCTCAGAAAAAACCTATCCAATCTTACAAATAAAGGGCCTGCTTTTCCTTCTGCCTCTACGTGCAGGAATCTATGGTACAGACCCTCATGAACCACGGAGGATCCAGCCCCTCGGATGCTATGGCATCCACAATGAGCGTGAGAACAGACTGGGTATAGGGACTCATGGTCACTTGGTGCAACTGACTGCACACACTTCCCCCACTTTTATGTGTTAGGACTTCACATTTTCTGGAGCCTTCCTTTCCTCAAAGCCTTCTCTGTCCACATTTCCCCAGCACCAGCCCAGCATTAGGCAGGCAGCAAGCTCATCAAATGCTGGCTGAGCTGAGATGGGCATTTTTTTCTTTCTAGTGAACAGATCCTGTTGGAATACTTAAGAATGCACAATAATACCCTTGTGGTTTCCTGGGGAAATGGTCCAACATCCACTGGCAAAAGACACAGTACAGACTTAGCTGGTCTGCCCGGCATGCCAAATACATGATCCTACACAGAGTCGCTGACTTTTATTAAATGTCATTCCAAAAGCAAACTTCATTGGCACAATGAAAGACGGTGTTCTTTTCAATATATCTGTCTTGCCGTCTTATTGCCTTCAAAGATGGCCTTTTGTTCTGAATGATAAATTGACATTTAAAGAAAATTACCACGAGCCTGCTCAACCGTCAAAGCAGTAGTTGGCTAAAGCAGATTGCATTTCATATTATGTGCTGAGGAGGAAGGAGAGCCCCACTTGGGGACTTGACTGTGCAGCGAGTTGGAGACCCATTTTCTAAGGAAGTACAGTGTGAGCTTTTAGAAGTACAGTGTGAGGCTGTGTTACTCAGCCAGATGCAGGTGAGCTAATTCCAGATGGGCCCCTCGGGCACCGTCCTATCAAGGGACTATAACGTAGCAGGCATGAACCAACAGCACTTCAAAACCACTCATTTTCTCCCTGAGAAGATCTTCCCTTTGGGCTCACTGCTTTCCTTGCCTTTCTCCCTGATGCTTCCCCAGACCTGTCATTGTTTAGTGACAGCCAATTCAATTGCAGGCAAGGTATGAGAAAGTGAAAACATGCTTTTGTAAGACCCATTTTGATGCTGCAGCTGGCCTGCCCATGCAGGGCAGGGGTTGGAATGGGAGCCTCCATTTGCAATGGTGATTTCCTTCCCTTCCTCTCAGGCTTCAGAGAACTCTGCCAGCTGGCCGGTCCTTCGTTGCTATGGACACCAAGAAGATTCCTCAGATTTTACAACAGATCTTCACCTCCACCATGCTGTCCAGTATCTAAGAAGCACCCTTCACCGCCCCAGGACTGGAAGCAAGATAGCAGTAGAAAGAATTCTGAAGAGACAGCAACCAAGCCAACCTGTGCCATGGCCGGACGCTGCTGTCCAGCAGTGAGCAGACTTGTAAATGGAAATGTACTCGGGAAGGGCTGGAGGGCCGAAAAGGAAATGGGGTTGACCTGCATTTCTTAAAAGGTCAGGGTTGAAGGAAGTAGGTGCAGGAACTACGGGGCTTGGTCTGGTTCCAAACCTAAAGGATAAAAAATACCCACTTTTGCCTTAATATGTCATCTGTTGCCAGATGCCATCCCAGAAAGCCAACCCTTCACTAAGGGTAAGTCTGCAAGCCCCACCCAACATGTTCCTGTCTACAATTATTTTTACTTTCTCTCCACTGTGTATTGCCCAGCAAGTAACAATTTCAGCCTTTAACCCACTGAAAAGCCTTTGAGCAATAGGACTTTATGAGATGTTAGATTCTCTCAAAAATCCCATTCTCTTGACTGAAGGAACCAAAAGGTCCTTAGGGGGCCTGCTCAGATAACAGAGAGCAAGTGTCCTACTCTCCCTGCTGCCCAAGTTCAAGGATAAAGATCTGCTTTTAGTGCTTTCCCAGAGTTCCACAGTGGACTACACGTGCCTGTCCAAATTACATCAATGAAGGTAGCAAATGCTGGTAAGGAAGGTGACGTCTGGCGGATTACACAAAGTTAAAAGCAGTATGCTTGACAAATGCTAACTGGAGATTTCTTTAGGTTTAACTAAAGAAAAATAGACTTTTTAGCTAAATTCTCTTTCAAAGTGAGAATTTTCAAGATCACATGTTCCAACAGAAGTCCCATAAACCGTCTAATAAAATGTTCCTCTTCACAGCTGGCGATGAAGTCAGAAGTGCTGGGGGCACCATTACGTGTGGGCTTACTTACTGTGAGCTGGAAAAACTAATCTCCTTGATGATGTTGGCCTAGCCATGTACACTGCCATTGGACAGGCCTGTAAATTTATTTCGTTTAATTATAGGACAGAAAAATATCACCCATTCCTTCCAACGCCCACCTCCTGTTCATCAGTTGTCAAAGAAATAAAAAGAAGTTGATGCCCAATATTGTGTTACCACCCCGGGTTTTCATGCTTTGTTTTTCTAGTCACATGCTTGTTCTGGGTGCTTGCTTATCCCAAAAGGCACCAAGTTCCAACTCACCAAGTGCCTTAGAAATGAAGTCGTGTCATTAATAATCACATTTGCCGATGACTTACTGTCCATTGGGAATCTGCTAAATGGTTCTGTGCGTTATGTCCCTCCGTTCTCACGGTTTATACGAGAGCACTTTATACTGATAAAGTGTCATTCATCGCTCTCACAAGATTCTTCATCATAGACTTTTGATTATCCATTGAACTGTTAGTATCACTTTACAAAGACAGACATGGAGGCTTAGAGGTACCCATGGTCACAGGCAGGTAGACAAGGCTAGATGCCCCTCCCCTTTTGAGGGTTCGAGTGAGTGAGCCCCTCATCCACGTCATAAGCTGCCCTTCCCTGGCGGCCTCCACTGCCTCCCTTTCTTCCAGGCTGACTGTTGTAACCTGTCTTTGTTTCCTAGAGCCTCCTTCCTAGCCCTTGTCCTCATAAGTCCTATCAGGCACTCAGAGGTGTGGGGACTAGGGCACAGGACTTTTCTGGAAAGGATCTTGTAAGTGCTCCTTTTTTCCTGGCTACAGCTGTGAGCCAAGGAAATGCCCATAGAGGGGCTGCTTAGCCCAAGGTCACTGCCCCCAGCAGCCTTTGGAAGTAGCATACCACAGTAGCTCAAGATGTAGGCCCTTCACAAATCTCCACACAGAGCCCGAGTAAGCAGAGCCATTCTTTTTTAAACACGGAAAGAATGTTCTCCAGTAATTAAGTTTCCCTTTCCCACTAGGCAGACATCCTTTGCAATTGTTCTTTGAAAGAGAAAATAGACTTTTGTGTTTTCTTATTTGTAAAAGGAGAAGATGAGGGGAAAGATGCTTTGCTTTCACTTCTCAGGGTACCTAAGCCATGTGTGCATTTATTATTAAATGTACTTAATTATAGGCCGCTCTGAGCTGTTCCCAGGCCCTCATTAGAGCCAGGACGTAATAATAACTGCACTGTGTACCCGCAGGGTATGCACTGAAAGACATCCAACCCGAGGCTCTCTTGCAAGCCCCCTGCGGACCACTGAGAAGGTTCATTGTTAGTCCTGAGCGGCCAGGAGGAATGAGCACCGTGAATAGCCACAGTCCATGGTGTGTGTTCCCCCCGGAATCCTTTGTGCCCCCAGTAAGATGACCTCATCACAGATGGGGTGACTTGAACACAGCCACAGAAGTAGGTCAGAGCAGGAGGATTTGAAGGGAGCAGCAGAGGGGAATGAATCATTTAATTCTTTACCCCCTTTCTTGGGAACCCTGGGAGGAGGAGAAAGCCATTGGTGCTGGAGGATTTTCTCTAAACCAACCCTGAGGCTCCGTAGGCCATTCGAAGTGGGTTCTGAACACAGGCTGGCTAGAGTTCCCTAAAGACCAGCCCCAGAGAGCCCATCTCCCCTGCACCTGGCTCCTTCCTGGGCCTGTCAGGCCAGCCAAAGTGAAATTCCTCAGTGAGCACAGTACAGAACAGAGATGCAGAGTGAGGGAAACAAAATGGTTGCTTTATCCTTGATCTGTATTCACTTCCAGCAAATGCATTTAGAAGAGTAATCCCCCAAATCCTAAGCCAGTCTCCCCTACATGGGCAACCCCTTCTGAAACCCCATCTCTGGTATAGCTGCCATCCACTTTAAAATCCAAGTGATAATATATACAGTGTAAGCATACTTAGATGGACAATGCTGTGTCATAAAGATCTAACCCACTGCCTTGATCTTCTAACATTTGCTCTGGCAGAACTACTAGAGTCTGATAGCAGAGGGAATTCATAACCAGTTCCAACTAGAACTGGTCTGAAAAAAGGGTCTAGCCCCTGATTGGCTATTAACTACCTGTGTAAACTTGAACTAGTCATTCTGGGCCTCGCTGGAGTTAATTCAATGCCATAATAAAATGTTTGGAGAAAATGATTATTAAAACTACAGTCCTATGTTCGTTACTCGTTTATGTAGTGAGGTGACTTGTCTTGTCCCAGCCTCCTTGTGAGAGCCACACCGCTGCCATGTAACCTATGTTCCCAGAACCCCACGAATACTTAGCAAATGGCAGCCTGTCTCCCAGCACAGGCACTGGGCTCCTGCATCATCTGTCCCTTCACAGTACTGCCGGAAGATTGTAAATATTCCCTTACATGCCCGTCAGTAAAATTACACAAAGCATCTTTCCCCAATGTGTAAGAGCTCTGCCTATTGCATCAAACTTTGCACAGTAAGAGTGTGTATTTGCACAACGAAAGCCAAAAGGATCAGGGATTGGAAGGCCACTATAACCTGCTGACTCTGGTGGCTCAGCTGAACAATGCCCAAGTATGTGTGTGTGTATGCGCACATGTGTGCACACCTGTGTGTGCCATGTGGAATCCTGACAACAGTCTGCTCCAGAGGTGGACCATGCCTGTCTAACACCTCAAGTTGAGAAGGATTGGGCACTCCTTGGAGCCTGGGCACTGTCTGAGGCTTCCACCTTCAAACACAGACCGTCTATTCATGCACACGTCCTTTGGAGTGCCAGGGTTATGTAACTTTGAACTTGAGTAGTGTTTGTGGTATTTGGCCACTCAGAGCAAAGTACAGAACTCTTTTAAGGTGGTTTAGATCCTGGGGGTGGTGAGAACATGACATTCTGCTTCAAGAAATCTTATCAAGGGGATAAAGCTGTCCCTTTGTAAGGTTGTCCCTCCCCTGTGACCCACAGGCACCAGACACCACAGGCTTTGGTGAAAGTATTTGGGAGTGGCCAGCGTGTTGATAAACTCAGAGTCCAAAGATGGTGACGTGGCTGTGGAAGAGTCTCAGGGCACAAGGCTTTATTACAGTTAAATACAGATGGAGGGTAATAACAGTAGCTGAACTAGACCTGGAACTGAAAGGGAACAACAACGCTGAACATCCTAGAGCAGGTATGCTCTGCATGAAGGTCTGAATACGGTGAGAACATAGGAACCTGACAGGATGCTCCAGGTAGTTCTTCTCATGACACCAGGCCATACATGATGCCTTTCTGACTGAAAGTTGAGGAAAATGAAGTGTATTTACTCAGAGGACATAAAAGTTGGGCTTTCTCGTGCTTGGACATTTACATTTATAAGTGCAGATGCTAATTTAATGACATTGCCAGTTCATTCTAGCTCTAGTAATTCTTCTATCACTGGACCTCCAGGATCATGAATCCTAACAAAGCTGGCTGGTCCATGTCCTTTTACAGAAAAAAAAAAAAAAATTACAGACCACATGAAAACAACAATACCTGTGAACACTTCTGCACCATCCTGACAAACCAGTGCCAGAACTGGGAAACAACTGGCTTAAATAGCCTTGGCCTCACCTCCTGTTGGTGATTCTCACAGAGCCTGCTGGTACTGAGAAAACTAAGGGGCTCTGCATGCACACACACACGCACACACACACACACACACACACACACGCTCTCGCACATGCGGATGATAAGTGGGGAAGGCAGGAGGGTTAGTTAATGTAGGTACTAGGCTGAATGATAATGTTGCTTGTTAAGGTGTTGACAGAGAAGGTGTCTCCATTGGGTAGGTTTCCTTTAGTGGTCTGAGACTTCTGAACAACTCTGTTCAAGGCTGATGGAGCAAACTAGCACATCCATTACAGACTCACAAACAAAGATTTGGTCCCAAATGTGGAGTTCCAGAACTAAAGAATCTTTCTCTCTGTGACCTTTCTGGAGACTGGAAGGGAAGGGCAGGCTCTCAGCGGCAGAGGCGGAGGGCTCTAACAGCCCCCTCAGACCGCCTGAAAGCAGACATTCAGTTGCTTGGCTAGAGTACAGCTCCACACAGCTGGCCTGGCTCTGCCCCAGCATCCGAAGTCTAGCCTTAGAGGGGCATTGTCTCAGCAAGAAGGATGCGCTTTCAGAAGACAGATCTCCCTGCACAGCCATCCATCATACACTTCTTAGATTCTTTTTTCCGCAAGCTTTCCTCTAGCATGGGGTGAATTAAAAGCCAGAGGGACTGTGTGGGGTGAGGACAGAAGGGGATATGTTAGTTATTTTTGTGTCGTGGTGGCTAAAATACCTGAGACAAACAGTTCAACAGAGGAAAGGTGTGTCTGGACTCGTGGTTTCAGGGGGTTTCATTCCATCCTGATGGCTCAGCCAGACCATGGCCCCAGGACAGTGTGGTAGACCAGGAAGCAGAGGCCACAGCAGGAATCAAGCAAGTGGCCCACTTCCTCCAGGACAAATTAGATGTGGTGGGGAAGAGCCAAAGTGGTTTTAGGTGGGCAGGTGACATTCCAGAACTACATTTATAAGTCCCTGGAGGGGTAACTACAGGCAATGAGGTAGCTGACTAAGCAAGAAAAAAAGGACAGGAAAGATTAATCTCTGCATGCTTGTGGAATATCCATGTGTATTGGCAGGTGTGAGGGTGGCAAGGGGAGAGTTGTAGGCCAGAAGTCAATGAGTCAATGTCAGGTGTCTTTCTTCATTGCTCCCTTCTTTAGTTTTTGAAGCAGGAACTGGCGCTCACAGATTAGCTGGACCATAGCTGGTCAGCACCAGTCTCCACCCACAACCCTGGGTTATAACAGTGCACCACCACGCCTGACTTTTCACATGGGTGCTGGGGTAAATACATGTCCTCATGCTTGCATACCACCCAATATGCCACTTCCACAACCCATGGGCTATTTTTTTTTTTTTTTAGCTGATGTTAATTTTTTGGAGGCATCTGATCCTTTTATTGCTAAGAAACTGTCATAAAACCATGTTTTTGTAAAAGGCTGGTTACAGAAACTTGCTGTCACGTGACAGCAGATGCCTGAGATACCCAAGGCAGAAGAATCATGAATTAAAGGTCAGCTAGGGCTATGTAATGAGTTCCAGGTCAGCCTGACCTATAAAGCAAACCTGTCTCAACAAGACAGCAACCAAACTCACTAAACATAGGAGCACGGTGGCAGACTACTTTCAAAACATATATGATATACTTGTATGAAAATGTCTTTATGTAACACAGTACCATGTACAATGAATATATACAATGAGAATTTAAAATATAAAACCCAAAAGTATTTCTGTATCCAGGAGACCCCATGGAAGCAAACTTCTTTCTCTCACTAGACAGGAGGAGAATGCTACAATGTTAACAGGCCCACACTGATTTGGCCCAGTCTTTACCAGGATAGAATGTGGGAATTCGTATCCAATGGGGCTCACATGGGCCCTGCTTCTGTAAGGGAAGTGGCTTCCTAGGGAGTATGAGGAATATCTGAAGTCTAAGCCTAAGATGCCATCCATGTCTGCACAGGCAGGGAACATGTGAAAAGTAGCATCACCAACAGGAGGTGAGGCCAAGGCTATTTAAGCCAGTTGTTTCCCAGTTCTGGCACTGGTTTGTCAGGATCCCTTCTGTACACTGTGTGGATATATGCCGCTATGATTGGTTTAATAAACAAGCTGATTGGCCAATAGCTGAACCGGATAAAGTTAGGTAGGAAAGCCAAACTGAGAATGATGGGATGAGGAAGGGCAGAGTCGGAAGAGTTGCCAGCCAGATGCAGAGGGAACAGGATATGAATGTGCCATGCTAATACAGGTACCTCCCGTGGCAGAGCATAAATAGAAATATGGGTTAATTTAGATGTAAGAGTTAGCTGGTAACAAGCCTGAGCTATTAGTCAACCATTTGTATTACTAAGAGTCTCTGAGTGATTATTTGGGAACTGGTGTGCAGGAGAGAAACATCCAATCACATTTGACCCTAGCCTCCATGGTCTGGGCAAATCAGAGCAGTCATGGATATACAGCATGCTATCCCATAACTGTTGCCATATGTGTCTTCCCTATTCTGGGGAATAAAGGCAGACACCAAGTCTTGTTTGTCTTTGGCTGACCCTGCAAAGGTGATGAATATGTTTTTAGTGACTGGATGGCTGTGGGATGACGAGGTGCCATGGCCTGGGAGACAGAAATTGTGCTGGCAAAAAAAAAAAAAAAAGTAAGATTTGGATGAAGATTGAGGGACTTCCTGAGGAAGAGAGCAAGGAGAGAATTTGAGCAGAAGCCTAGTCTTGGCATGCTCTCGGAGGCAGCTGGGAGGCAGGCAGTTCTCCCTCTCTAGCTGCCACAAATTCTTGCCCCAGCCAAGAATTTTTAAGCAGCCTCTCAGAGGCTCCAGGCCAGCCTTCCAGATGCCCTACTGCTAACCCTGACTGGCCAGGGGTGAAGTGGGAGGCAGCGAGGCAGCCCAGGCCTGCCAGGGTCCCAGAGTAATGATAGCTCAATAGAAGCCTTCAGGCTGCCTCATGCTGTGACTCTTTTGTTTTGCTTACATTTCACTGTCTCAAAAATAAGTGGAGACCTTTCTTCCCCAGGATTACAAGTTGAATTTGGTGATGAAAGGGTTTGTGTTGTGCAGAGGGAACTCTCAGGGAAGAGCTTGCACATTTGCAAGTATTTTGGAGAAAAAAAAAAATGGCTTGCTCTATGGCAGGAGGGAGGGAGAGAGAGAAAGAGGGAGAGAGAGAAGGAAGGAAGGAAGGGAGGGAGGGAAAGAAAGGAGACAAGAAAGGAAAGGAAAGAAATTAGTGGGAAAGCCCAGCCTTTGTGAAACTGCCTGGGAACCCTTGACTAGGTCACCATGTCTGCCAAATGTTCTCACCATCCACACATCACAGTAAGACTCTAAACTCAATAAATCTCTAGAAGACTTAGGAAAAGATTACTTGGCTCATATTCCAAAACCCAGGTGAAACTATTATTCACTAACTCACTTTACAAAGACCCTGGTGCAGCAGGTAACAGTAAATTGGAAGAAATGGACAGAAAGATGATGAATGGGTGGACGGATGGACAGTGGATAGATGATGATTAGATGTGTGGGTGGATGGATGGAATTTGAATGGACAGATTATGGTTAGGCATGCAGGTAGACATATGG